GACACTCGAGAAGCCCAGGGCACCTTGCAGGTAAACAGGGCGTTTCGTGGCATGGGCTTCCACTGTAGGTGGGGAGGAAAGGTAAGGGCGAGGAGGAGGAGGAGGAGGAGGAGGAGGAGGAGAGCAGGAGGAGGAGGAAGAGGAAGCGGAGGAGGAAACGGAGGAGGAAACGGAGGAGGAGGAGGAGGAGGAGGAGGAGAGAGGAGGAGGAGGAGGTGGAGGAGGAAGGAGGGGGAGGAGCAGGAGAAGGAGGAGGGAGGAGGAGGAGGAGCAGGGCGTTTCGTGGCAGGGGCTTCCACTGCAGAGCCCTCGACGGGGTGCGGCAGGGTCTCCGTCGAGGCCCTCGCCCGCCCGCCCTCCCCCCCTCAGGAGCGGGCTGCAGACAACATCTCCTCTGCAGAGCCACACCCTTCGGAAGGAAGGAGGAGGAGGAGGAGGAGGAGGAGGACCAGTGTAAACCTAAGAGGCATCCACGATGTTGGAATGAACCCTTCCTCCAAGCTTCCTCTTCATAGGCCCCACCGCGAATCAAAATAACTGTTGCACCAGCATTATCCGGAATCCGGCCAAAACGTTATTTCTGATACGTTGATCATGGGATTCCGTGAAACTCTTGCAAAGTTTGAACACGAATATGCGCGGCGCTAAGGCAAGAGCCACATTTTGAACAGGAACCGCCCTCAATCCGTGAAACTCTTGCAAAGTTGAAAACAAATGTGCGCGGCGCTAAGGCGAGAGCCACTTATAAAAAACACCCGCCCTCAATCCGTGAAACTCTTGTTAATGTTTGAAGCGAATGTGCTCGGCGCTAAGGCGAGAGCCACATTTAAAAAACCACCCGCCCTCAAGTCGTGAAACTCTTGCATTAAAAAACTAATGTGCGCAGCGCAAAAAAGGAGAGCCACATGTTGAAAACCACCCGCCCTAGATCCGTGAAGCTTTTGCAACTGTTAAAAAAGAATGCGCGCGGCGCTAAGGCGAGAGCCACATTTTGAAAATCACCCGCCCTCGATCCGTGAAACTCTTGCAAATGTTTGAAACGAATGTGTGCGGCGCTAAGGCGATAGCCACATTTTGAAAACCACCCGCCGTCAATGTGTGATACGGTTGTCTTCTTATAAACTTCAGAGTCATAGATGGTAGGGAAGTCTCAGGCGAAATGCCCGGTCCGCCCTAGAAACTGGCCTCGGGGTTCGACAGGGAGAAGTTATCGATAAGGAGGAGGAATGGAGGAGGAGGAGGAGGAGGAGGAGGAGGAGGCGCAGGAGGAGGAGGAGGAGGGAGGCGGAGGAGGAGGAGGAGGAGAGGAGGAGGAGCAGGAGAAGGATGACACGAAGGAGGAGGGAGGAGAAGGAGAAGGAGGAGGAGGAGGAGAGGAGGAGGAGGAGGAGGAGGAGTAGAACGAGGAAGGAGGAGGAGGAGGAGGAGGAGGAGGAGGAGGAGGAGGAGGCGGGGAGGAGGAGGCGGGGAGGAGGAGGAGCAGGGCGTTTCGTGGCATGGGCTTCTACTGTAGAGCCCTTGCCCGGGCACGGCGGAGGTCTCCGTCGAGGCCCTCGCTCGCCCGCCCCCCCCAAGCTGCGAGCTGCAGACAACATCTCCTCTGCAGAGCCGCACCCTCCGGAAGGACGGAGGAGGAGAGGAGGCGGAGGAGGAGGAGGAGGAGGTGGCGGAGGAGGCGGAGGAGGAGGCGCAGGAGGGAGGATGCGGAGGAGGAGGAGGAGGAGGAGGAGGAGGAGGGACGCGGATGTGGAGGAGGGAAGAGGGGGAGGAGGAGCGGAGAAAGAAGGAGGAGAAGGAGGAGGAGGAGGAGGCGGGAGGAGGCGGAGCAGCAGAGGAGCAGTAGGAGGAGGAGGAGGAGGAGGAGAGGAGGAGGAGGAGGAGGAGGAGGAGGAGGGAGGAGGAGGGAGGAGGGAGGGAGGAGGAGGAGGCGGAGGAGGAGGAGGAGGTGGAGGTGGAGGGGAGGGTGGAGGTGGAGGAGGAGAGGAGGAGGAGGAGGAGGGGAGGAGGTAGGAGGAGGAGGAGGAGGAGGAGGAGGAGGAGGAGGAGGAGGAGGAGGAGGAGGAGGAGGGGAGGAGGAGGAGGGCGGAGGAGGAGGAGGAGGCGGAGGAGGAGGAGGAGGAGGAGTGAGGAGGGGAGGAGGAGGAGGAGGAGTAGGAGGGGGAGGCGGAGGGGGAGGGGAAGGGGTGAGGGAGGAGAGGGAGGGGAGGGGCAAGCTAGGTGCGCTCGCGTCATATCTGACATCCTACCCCTCCCTCCCATCCCTTACCATGGCGCAGATCCCCTCTCTACTCGCTCAGTCGGATGTCGAGCAGGGCAATGATCCCGAAAGGGTACGCGATGCATTGTAGAGCACGGCATGGCATGGCGTAGAAGAGCACCGCAAAGCGTAGCATCAACCTAGCATTGCATTGCATTGCATGCCGTGGCATGGCACGGGAAATGACGCCAGCGCTGCAGCGGGAGCACGAGTCGAAACGAGCAGAAGCGCGGAAATGAGGCCAGCGCTGCAGCGGGAGCACGATTCGGAACGAGCGGAAGCACGAAAATGAGGCCAGCGCTGCAGCGGGAGCACGATTCGGAACGAGCGGGGCCCGAAAATGAGGCCAGCGCCTCAGCGAGAGCAGCATTTTGAAAACAAATGCAGGCGAAAACCCAACTCCGTGGAAACCTGTGTGTAAAAAAACAGTACGCGGGGGGGGTCGGCCACTTTCAAACCGTCATCAGGGGAAGAGGGAGAGTAGTATTCGTATTGAGTAATTGTGAAGAGGGGGGAGGGGGAGGGGGAGGGGAAGGGGGAGGGGGAGGAGGAGGAGGGGAGGAAGGGAAGGAGGAGGAGGAGGAGACGGACGGAGACGAGGAGGAGACGAGGAGGAGGACGAGGAGGAGACGAGGAGGAGACGAGGAGGAGGAGGAAGAGACGAGGAGGAGACGACGAGGAGGAGAGAGGAGAGGAGGAGGAGGAGGAGGAGGAGCAGGAGGAGGAGGAGGAGGCGGAGGAGGAGGAGGAGGAGGAGGAGGAGGAGAGGAGGAGGAGGAGGAGGAGGAGCAGGCGGAGGAGGAGGAGGAGGCGGTGGAGGAGGCGGAGGAGGAGGAGGAGGAGGAGTTGGCGGAGGAGGAGGAGGAGGAGGAGGAAGAGGAGGAGGAGGAGAAGGAGGAGGAGGAGGAGGCGCAGGAGGCGCAGGTGGAGGAAGAGGCTGAGGAGGAGGAGCAGGAGGATGGGGGGGGAAGATGCGAAGGAGAGGGAGGACGAGGAGGAGTAGGAGGAGGTAGAGGAGGAGGAGGAGGTGGAGGAGGAGGAGGAGGTGGAGGAGTAGGAGGAGGATCAGGAGGAGGCGGAGGGCCTCCGCAGGTCAGGCTCATTGTAAGTTAGCTCATCTTCAAAAGTGTTGCTGCTGATCGCTCGATAGCGCTCACCCAAGGCCTTTATCGAGTCTGGTGGACGGTGGAGCGGGCTCAGTTTTGTGATCGGGCAGTGAGGGATTCTTCAGCCCTGCGGGCAGCCATTCTCCGTCAGACCTAGTGCGAGATAGCCACCGCCATGGGTTTCAGTTGGATCCAGGTTATGTGGGACTTGGAGAAATTCTGTGATTACGTTCACCTGCAGATGGTAGTTGACATTACAACTGGAGTGGACTACCCGCTCATGCCTCTGTTCCTGGCTTTAGACATGCACAGAGCTCCGAGGCGTCTCCTGGCTTCACGAGCCATCTCGGGCGAGTTGTTTCCTGCCAGGAGTCTACTGCTGGCAGGCTGTTCCCAGAGTGTAGATATCTCGAAAGTTGCTCTCTGGGATATCCTGAAGGACGCCCATGCCCGTTTTCAGCCGCTCGCTCTCGAAACGTGGATCGATGATCTCAGCCAGCGGCACGTTGGCAAGGCAGAGGTCGCAGTCAAGTAAGCTGTAGAGCACAGCGGAGGCTTGGGAAACTCTTTAGTCAGGTCAGGTTGCAGGATCTCCGCCAAGAGTCAAGTTCTGTCGAATCCCCCAGCTCTGGCCAGGGAAGTGCTCGCAGATTTGACGAGGCGTGGTTTTCCTTGCGAAAACCCCACGGGTAAGGACCTTGGCATTGGCACAGTGGGCGCGAGGCGATCAGTAACGGTTCTCAAACAGCGGTTTCAGTCAGCCAGCCATCGAGCCAGCATGATTAAACGAGTTGTCAAGACCGACTGTCGTAGAGAGACTTTATCACGGACAGGGTGGTTAGCCCAGGCCCTCTGGGGGCTTGAGGCCCAAGGCGCAAGTCCGACTCCGGCCCTTCAGGCAAGAGCGGCCATGGCGCGGCATGGTGGGACGAAGAGAAGGGGGGGTGTTACTATGGTGTTGCGTTTTGCCTTTCAAGGCCCCCACCATGACCCCATGATGTCAACCAGGGTTCGAGTTTTGAAGGAGTGGATCCACCTGCTCCCTAGCCTGCAGGAAGCTAATCAGCATGGTCTCCGCGTTGTTTGGGGACCGGCGGCAGCTAAACTGCAGGACCCTGCCGCCCGCTGGAAGAAAGTTTACGGTTTTGTCGCAGCCACAGTTGCATGCCTGTTGGAGGCAGGTTGGACACCACAGGAGTCCACTGTCCGGTCTAACGCGGATGGTGGGGTTTTCCAAGTGCTCGCTTGTGATCCAGTGCGCCTCATGCTTGGCCCTCTACAGGCGTTTGACTGGTTGGCCTGGAAAAAAAAGCCAGCGAACACTACCACGGCCGCGGTCTAGCAGGGCATGCTGACATGTTTGTTCCACCTCGGAGATTGATTTAGCTCAGAGCCTCGGGCGCCTACGACCAAACTGGAGTTTTAGAACTGATTATGTCGGGAGCCCTCTGGCCAGCCGCGAGACGTTTCGGGGACGAGGCTCGGAGGCCCTTCCCTAGGTCGCAGGCTCCAGAGGTCCCTCCAGCGCCTAGTCAGGATCCTGAGCCTGAGGCCAATCTTTCCCTTGATCCTCCTCAGCCTCTCCGTCCTCGCCTAGGGGTTGACGAGTGTGAATGTGATCTTGATGCGATGTTAGAGGAAGCGACGCGATCCGCTGAATACCTGCAGCTTCAAGAGGAGTTGCAGTGTTGCCGCTGTGAGGAGGAGCCCGGTCCTCGTCGTCGGGCGCCTCAGGATACCTTCCTCCGCCAGCCCTGGAGCTGCCCGCTCAATGACCCGATCCCAGGTTTTCATTCCTCCCTTCGGGCCCGCGCGGAGGCTGAGTCGGATGTTGCCCCTTCTTTCTGGCTGCGAGGCCTCCAGCTCCTGGACTGGACATGTCAGCATGTTTGTGTCCCGATACAGGGCGAAGAGAAGCTCTCGGCCCAGCTAGGAGGATATTATTTCGAGATCGATATGGGGTGCGTGATTGGGTCGGACGGGGCTGGAGGGGAGGAGAGTTCGGATCCTCGTTTGAGGAGGTGCGGCTGGGGCTTCACCGGGCAGTTCCAGCAGCAGAATTGCATGCCATCGCCCGTGCAGCCCAACTCACCACGGGCCCGATTGAGTGTGTGATTGGTAATGACGGATTGGTCCGAGCAATTCGTGCTGGCCCCCGTTTCAAGCACAAGAAAATCGTTTCTATGTGGAGAGATTCTTGGAGAGCGGTAGGTGATCGAGCCATTTCAGTGCACAAGATTCGCCCACGCCTCTCGTTAGAAGATGCAGGCGCCCTCGGTTTCGACCCAGACCACTCGCAGGCGAATCGCCTGGCGGATAAGGCAGCGGAGGAAGGGGCTAAGAGTGCCCACGTTCTCTTCCATGCGAGGCGCCAGGTTGGAAAGTGTTGGGATCTTTCTTGGCGGTTTCGATGGCCCTTGCCCAGCAAGCCCCGACCCTGTATGGAACCGCTTCTAAGGGCAGCCGCCAGGAAGAGGCGAAGATTTCCCTTGCTGTTTCGCGCTAAGAGAAACAGTCCCGTCTGGCCCTGCTCGTCGATCGGTCGTCGCACTCCGCGGGGCAGAGGGCCCGAGGATTTTGGCGTTGCACTGTTTGTTGTCAGTCCGACTGAGGTGAGAAAGAGAGAGAGAGAGAGAGAGAGAGAAAACAAAAAAAACAAAACACATGTTTTCATATCGGTTTGCCCAGGCCATCCTGCCACGATCCACCCCGCCCATAAGCTGGAGGCTCACAGGGGTGTGTGCTGGTGCCAGCTCTGTGGAAGCTCAGGTGTTCCCTCGAGAGGCAAGCTGCTGAAGCTAGGGAGAACCTGTGCAGCTGGCCTCACAGACCATGGGCGGAGGGTGGGCAAGGCGCTGCTGGAAGGGAAGCTCTTTCCTGATGTCAAAGCTTGGCCGGAACGATCAGAAGCCCAGGCCACCTCCCGCCGCGGCATCAGGTTCCTGATGCCGCCCTTGGTTCCTGAGGTGACAAAATCTGACAGAGGTGGCCCAGGATGTTTCACTTCTCTCTCGGTAGTGCAGGGAGAGGCGAAAGGCAAGAGGAGGAGGCGGAGGAGGAGGAGGAAGAGGAGGAGGAGGAGGAAGAGGACCAGGACGACCGCTGCGCGCCCTGGGCCTCTCCTTTAAGGTCGGGGCCGGACGAGGGATCCGCTGCGCTCTGGTCGATTTTCCGACTCGGCTGCACAGTGGAAGCCCATGCCAAAAAGCGCCGAGCTTGCCTCCTCCTCCTCCTCCTCCTCGCCCTTCCCCTTCTTCCCCACCTACAATGGAAGCCCATGCCACGAAACACCATACTTGCCTCCAGGGTGCTTCCTGGGCTTTTTGGCTTCCGATGGTTTTGCGACGGAGAGCGCGACGCTCCCGCGCGAGAAATCAATCGACGCCCTGGGTTCTCAAGGTTGGGTTTCTTGTGGAAGGTTTTTCGTGGTCGTGCTCCTATCCTGCTGTAGGCTTCCAATCGGCGGCGAGCCCGGAGGGGTAGCGAGAGGGGGGCGGGCCTTCTCAGAAGGCTCGGAAGTTCCCCGGCGCTCTGAGAAGTTGAGCCTTCCCCGAAGGCACAACAACAAAACTGTCAGAAGGCCAGAGGCCTTCTGAGAACTCCCGCCGCCTTCTTAGGAGGTCCTCTCCTTCTCGCTTCCCCCCCCTTCGCTCGCCCCCGATCCATTGTGAGGTCCGAGCAAATGGATTCAATAGCAAGTCATGGGGGCCTTTTGTGTCCTCGCAAGTTCCATTTTCAAAATGCACTAGCGCTGGCTAGCGTCTGGTAATCGACGGCCGGTTTGGCGTCGATCATAGTTGACCCGCGAGAGCCAACAAGATGGCACGAGAGGCTCCCATGAGATGCCACGGAAAATGGGGCCAGAGGATCGCGGCGCGTCGCCGATGCATCGGCGATGCGGGCGGCTCGATGCGGAGCCCGATTTCCCCACGCCGACGTCGCCATCGCATCGCCGACGTCGCCGATGCATCGACGATGTGGCGCGTTCCTCCGACCCTCCGACCCCATTTGGGCGGCCTCTGGAGAAGGGGGCCCTGACACCAGAGCCGCAGGAATTACCTTGGTTGAGTTTCCGACCTGACAGTGTGTCCGTAATGCAGCCCAGAGGATGCACAACATTGGGGCGGAAATCCAGAGTAAGTTCCGACTTAGGTTCTGGAGTAGTTTGTGGGAAGTTCCAGAGATTTGTGGAACGTCCCTCGACTTTGTGAACCATTCCGCCTTAGGTTGTGGACATTTCCAAAACCTTTCCCACAAAGTAGGGCCGACATCCACAAAGGCGAGGGTGGAAACAGCGACAGAAAAGTAAAACGGAAGTCGACATCAAGGGAGCTTGAAACATGAAGCGGGCATTTCCGCCCTACTTGAGAAATCATCCACAGTGGGGCGGGAATCCAGAGCATTGGGGGGCGGAATGGGCTGGGCGTCGCGTAATAACGGGACGACAAGTAAAAAGGAACACCAGGCCAGGAGGGCTCATAGTCACACTGGTCCTTCGCCCAGGAGGGGCCTGGTCAGGAGCGATGCAGGCACGCGGAGTTGGTGTCCTCCTCGTAGGGGCCGACGGGCCCAGCTTTGAACGTTGTACGACGCCTCGCGGCCTTTGCGCTTTGCCCTCGAGTCCGCATTTCTGGACGTCGAGGTCGATTGTATTGCTACTAGGTTGTCGCCCTTTCAAACGGACGCAGCATCGCGATAGACAGTGTATGTTTCAAGGCACGCCTCTCTACGCAATGTATTGAACAGAGGGACTGAAAGTGAGCTTGTCTGCTCGTCCCTATCTCTCCCTGCTCTCTCCCTCGCTGTCATCTTATTACAGTCAAGGGATTATTTTGCTAGTGGAACTTCTAGACGGCCGCAGCGATGGCGAAAACGGCGGCGAAGACGGCGACGACATCGGCGACGCCAGCGATCGGCGTCGGCGCTGGCGAGGGCGACTGCGGCGATGGCGGCGACGTCGACGACTACGGTGTCAACGGTGCCGGCGAGGGCCAGTGCGACGACGGAGATGGCGGCGACGTCGACGACGGCGGCGGCGACGACGGCGGCGATTACATTGACGACGGCGGCGACTGTCGATACAGAAGACACGTCGGAGCGCAACCCCTGGGCTGTTGGAAGGATTCCGTTGCTTGCTGGAACGCCCGCGCTCGATTAAAGGTAAAAGTAAGAGGAGGATGAGGATGGGAATGAGGAGGATGGGAAGGAGGAGGAGGAGGAGGAGGAGGAGGAGGAGGAGGGGGAGGAGACGACGAGGAGAATGGGAATGAGGAGGAGGAGGATGGCAATGAGGAGAATGGGAACGAGGAGAAGGAGGAGGAGGAGGAGGAGGAGGAGGAGGAGGAGGAGGAGGGGAGGAGGACGATATGGAAAGAGGAGGAGGAGGAGGATGGAAGGAGGAGGAGGAGGAGGAGGAGGAGGAGGAGGAGGAGGAGGAGGAGGAGGAGGAGGAGGGGGGGAGGAGGAGAGGAATGGGAATGAGGAGGAGGAGGATGGAAGGAGGAGGAGGAGGAGGAGGAGGAGGAGGAGGAGGAGGCCCGAGCGCCGAGGGTCGAGGCCTTTCCGACCTCGGCAGCCCGGCCGGAGGCCTCCCTCCTCGCGCACTTCTTGCCTTCACCCCCTCGCCACTCGCAGCGCCCTCGCCGAGAGCCTCCTGGGGGTGGCCTAAGTCGATCGCCTGCTCTCCCCCCTCGGTGCCATGGCATGGCAGCTCGTCCGGCCCCGCGGCCGACGAGGCCGCCAGGCCAACCCGGAGCTGGCGGCGGACCTCCTGCGCAGCCTCCTCGGCACTGGGGGCGCGCAGCGCGGCGACGGGCAGCCGCCGCCGGCGCGCCGCCCGGAATGGCGCTGCACCTGCGGCGTCACCAACTTCGAGAACCGGCAGGCCTGCCGGCGGTGCTCCGCGGCACGCGCCGGAGCGCCAGCGGCCTGCCCGCCGCCGCCGCCGCCAGCGCAGAGGGCCGGCGGCGGCGCCGCCTGGCCGGCCCTGCCCGGCGGCCGCGGCCCTCGGCCAGGGGCCCAGGCGGAGGCCTTCCGCAGCCGCCGCGGCACGGCGGGCCGGGGCCCCAGCGGAAGCCCTGGAACCCCTTCTGGCGGAGGAACGCGCCGCCCGACAGCGCCAAGCGGAGCGCCGCGGCGACAACCGCCTTGGCGGCTTGAGGACAGCGGCGGAAAAGGCGGCGGCTGCGGCGCACGCAGCGGAGGAGGCGCTGGAGGCCGCGCAGCGCCACCTCGAGGACGCCCGGGAGAAGGCGGCCGCAGCCGAGGCCGCGCTCCGCGCGGAGGAGGAAACACAGCGGGCGGAAGCGGCGCGGGCGGCTGCCCCTGGGGCCGGCGCGGAGCCCCCGGAGCTGGCGCGGGCCACGCGCGAACTGCTGGACAGGCTGGAGACTGGAGCCCAGGCCTGGGAGCACGCGCCAGAGCCGCTGCTGGCGGCGATGGCCGCAGCACACGCTGCCCTGGCAGCCACAGGGGAGCCGCCCCCCCCGCCCGACCTGGACGCCGAGCTCGGCGACGCCCAGGGCGCGAGGAGGGACTGGAACGACCTCCACGACGAGGAGCAGGAGGACTCCGAGGAAGACGCCCTCCTCGAAGAACTGGACCGGGCGGAGGCGGACGACGCGGCCCTCCTCCAGGCCGCCCGCCGCCTGCAAGGGGCTCGCCGGGAGGCCGCCGCAGCCGCCCGCCCGGCCGCGGCCCGGCCGCCGGCCCGGCTCCCTGGCGAGCGACACGCTCCCTACTGAGGCGCCGGTGCGGCTACGCCGGCGTCCGTGCGGGGGAGGCGAGCAACCCCGGGCCGATCTGCCCGGCCTGCCACACGGAGGCGGGCTCCTACCGAGCAGAGGCGGGGGACCGATGCTCGGTGTGCGACGGGGCTGGCGCCGGCGGCTGGCTTCGCTACTGCGGCGGCTGCGACGCCCGCCTCTGCCGGCGCTGCACGCTGGACGCCCCGCCGGCCGCGGCGGTCCGAGGGGGCGCGGCGCCCGCGGCGGCGGCCCTAGCGGGCGCGGCACCCGCGGCCGCGGCGCCTGGCGACCTGCGCGCTCCGCCCCCGCCAGCAGACGCGCCGCCGGCCGCCGCCGCCCCGGCTTTGGCCCTGCGAGACCTCTCTGCTGCTTGCTGGGAAGGGCTGGACAGCCTCGACCTGCTGGAGGTATTCGCACTCGACTGCCCTACGCTGCGGGCCGTCCCGCGGCACTCGAGGGCGGCGGCCGGGCAGGCCACGGAGGAGCTCTGCAACGCAATCCTCCGCGCCCCGGCTGGGAGCGCCGAGGAAGAACGCGCCTGGAAGCTGCTCGCGCTGCGGGAGCGTTTGCATTTGCCGCCCCGCTGCGGCTGCACGCGAGGAGCCGGCAGCGCGGGGCGGCGGAGACCCTGGGCCGCACGCTGCTGGTGCGCGAGCGCTGCTCCGCGCTGCTCCGCGGCGACTGGGGGACGCTGCTGGAGGCGGCCCAGAACGCGGCCCGGGGACTGGCCAAGGCGCGCCGGCAGGCCACCGGAGGAGGGGACCGCGACGAACGCTCCTTGGCCGACGAGGTCATTCGCAAAGGGATGGCGGAGGAGTACTCCCGGGCCGCCGCTCTGCTGTGCAGCCCTGGCCTCGCGCCTCTCACGCCCGACTCGGCTGCCCAGCTGCAGGCGATCCTCCAGCCGCGCCCCGCCGCCGCGCTGCCCCCGGCGGCGGCGCCGCCCGCCGGGCCGCCCGCGCTCTCGCACAGGGCCCTCAAGAAAACGCTGCAGGCAAGCCCCCGGGGCAGCGGCGCGGCGGCTGGCGGCGGGCGCTTTGAACACTGGCGGGTTGTGCTGGCCCAGCCGACGGCCCTGGCTGCCTTCTACGGCGTGTGTGACCGAGTGGCCGAGGGGCGGGTCCCCGCCAGCGCCGCCGCCGCCCTGGCTCTGGCCAAGCTCACACCGCTGCGCAAGCCAGGCGGGGGGGTCCGGCCCATCGCCGCACCGAATATCTTGCGGCGGCTGGTGGGCCGGGCGCTGGTCTCCCCCCGGAAGGAGGAACTGGCTGAGGCCCTGGGGAGACAGCAGTTTGCCGTGGGCACTGCTGCGGGCACGGAGCTGCTAGCACACACGGCGAGGGCTCTGGCGGAGGCCAACCCCGACCTTGTGCTGGTGGCGCTCGACGCCAAGAACGCCTACTGTTCCGCCCGCCGGGAGGCCTGCCTCCGCGGCCTGGAGGAGGTGGCGCCGGCGCTCCTGCCCTACGCGAACCTGTTCTGCCGCCGCGAGTCCCTGTATTACTTCTGGGACGCGGCCGGGGTTTGCCACCGCTTGCGCTCCACCAGCGGAGTTGACCAGGGCGACCCGCTGGCGCCGCTGCTCTTCGCCTGCGGGCTGCGCCCCCACTTGCCCGCGCTGGAGGGCGACTTGAAAGAGGCGGCTCGGCTGCAGGGGCTAAACCCAGACGACGTGCACGTCCTTGCCTACTTGGATGATGTCGTTGTCTTGGTGCCCTCGGCGCTCGGGGGCAGGGTGCAGACGGCGGCGCAGAGGGCCCTGGGCGGCCTGGGCCTCGAGCTGGAGCCGAGGAAGACGCAGGCCTGGTCCGCCGGGGCGGCCTGCCCTCCGGGACTGGAGGAGCAGTGGCGCGCGCGGGGCCTCACCCTCGTGGGGGTCCCCCTGGGAGGGCCGCTGCCCCCCGGAGGTCTCCCGGACGAGAGCGACGCGCGCCGGGTGGACCTCGGCGGGGAGGACTACGCGGCGGAGCGCTGCGCCGGCGGGGCGAGCGGCCGAGCTACTGACCAAGCTGGCGGAGCTCCCGGCGACGGCCTCGCCGCACCTGCCGGCGCGGCAGACCGCCGGGCTGCTGCTCCGGCACACCGGGGCCAGCAAGCTGACGCACCTCCTCCGCACGAACGCGCCGGCGACCTCGGAGGCCGCCGCCGGGGCTTACGACGAAGCCCTCTTGGCGGCTTACACAGAGCTGGCGCGCCTGGACCCGCTCGCGGAGCCGGAGCAGGCCGCAGTGCCGGCTGCCGCTGCGACTCGGCGGGCGCGGCTTTCGCAGCCAGCGACAGCTGGCGCCGGCTGCCTGGGCTGGCTCCTGGGCGCAGAACCTGAGCGGGGTGAGGGAACGCACGGGGCTCGCCTGCCAGGCCAACCTCGACACCTGCCCCCTGCCCCTCGCTCGCGCCTGCCGCGCCGCGCTGGCCGGGCTCGCGCAGCTGCCGCCGCCGCCGCCCCGCCCGGGCGCGGAGCCGGCCGAACTTCCCAACTGGCAGACGCTGGCAGAGACGCCGCAGCGAAAGCTTCAGAAGGGCCTCACCGCAAGGATCGACCACAAAAACTACGACACCTTGCTGAGGACCCTGGAGCCGGAGGCGAAGGCGCTCTTCCGCTCCTGCGGCGGGCCACACGCGGGCGCCTGGCAGACGGCCTCGCCCGGCCTGGACGCCCAGCGGCTCGACGACACCGACTACTGCAGCACGGCACGCGCGCTGCTGGGCCAGGCCGCTGCCCCCCCCGGCGCGACCTGCTGCAACCGCGCGCGGACCGGGGGGCGCGCCGGGCAGCGCTGCGGCGAGCCGCTCGGCGACCGGGCGCGCCACGCCTGGCGCTGCGCCCGCGGGGGCGGCCTCAAGGCGCGCAGCGGCGACCTCGAGCGCGCCTGGGGCCGTATCCACGCGGAGTGCGGCTTCCGGGTCGAGCACCAGCCGCACGTCCCGGCTTGGGACCGCTGGCGCTGGCGCTGCCCGCGCTGCGACGCGCGCGGCAACGCGCCAGACCGACCAGCGGCGCCCTGCGGCAGCTGCGGGGCCGCGCTGCAGGCGGAGAGGGAGGAAGCCATCCTCGACCTCGAG